TTAATTTACAACTAACATAAGTGTATTGGAGGCTCACCGTTGGGGGGAAATTAACACGGGCAGGGAAAGTCGTTGGGGCAGGGAATAAAAAATGGGGCACTCACGGGGAATGGTGTCCTCAGAATTCTCTCGGTTTTCCTCGGGGTTGATCCTCCTTCCTTCCTTCTCTCTCCTCGATGTATCTTCTCAAAACTATTCCGCTACACACTCCTTTTCTCCACTCTCCTCTCGATAGTTCTTCCCGTAAAAGTTATCTTCTCACAATAGTTCTTCTCACAATAGTTCTTCTCACAATCACAATAGTTCTTCTCACAATCACAATATTTCTTCTCACAATATTCCTCTATTAAATAGTCTCTTAACACAAAATTTAGTCTTCCACAGTATCCTTCTTAATTCTGGGGCAGTGACTCGTGGGGCAGCGGTGGCACGAGTGAAGTCTGCCAATCATCCTCACCTCTTCTTCCCTGATTTTTGGCGGGGTCATCAGGTGTCCTTCTTGTTCTCATCCAGGGGCTCGCTCGAGGGGTATCTCTTTCTTCCCGGGTCACGTGGGATCCTCTTCCTGGATGCGTGAGTGCTAGGGCGGGGGGAAACGGGGACGGGGGTAAGGAATATCTGGGGATGGATTGCCCAACGGTGGCGAAAAAGGAGTAACTTAAACCTAACTTAACCTAGGAAAAATAAGCTGTATTAATTAGGGGGCAGGGGGGGGGGGCGCAAAATTCTGCCTCGTCACATCATATTGGAACAAATCTTGTATTAACAAAATTTTGTATTAACAAAAATTTAAAAATCTTTTTAACATTTTTTTAAAATTAATTTGCTGCCAAAATATTCAATTCAGAGTAATTTATTCAACGGAATTTTATGCGGAAGTTGATAGAGGGAAAATTGATTAATTGATATTTTTTAACAATGCAAAATGCAGCAAGAAAAATATTGATATTTTTCGTTCAAAAATTCAAATTTTTGCGCGTTGACTGACGTAACGATTCCCCCCCTCTGACCCAAGCATCGTGGTCTTGCCCCTCCAACTACCTGCACGGTACAATAGGACCCCTTATTTCATAGTCATTGGCCTAATTGAGGTTGGGAGCTAGGTGAGCCGATTGAGCGCACTTTGCCCATGCCTGGTCTAGTGGTTAGGGTACAGGATGGGTACTCGTAGGATCCCCGCTTCGTTCCACAGTATCGGCAAAAATAATTATATTTTTTTACCATTAATTTTGGTAGGTATTTATTGATAAAGGTAATATAATGTGAACAAAATCATCAATATTGTACTTTGAATGTATTATCATTCATAAATATGTGCGTTTTGGTTATCAAGTAGCAATCCGCTTTGTTTGATCAAATTCGGATCAAGTCAAGGCGTTACACGCCTGACCAATTAATGATCAAACTGTAGGGCCAGTACCTGGTCCAGCATCAAAATCCGACTTGGTGCTAATTTGGACCGGATTTCTGCAAAATTTCCAGAATTACTCGTGCATATTGTAACTTAAATTATAAGTGATATAAAGATTTATAACAGTAGTATATGGGAGTATAAACAAATGTCATTCAATATAAGCAAGCGGTATAAGCAAATGGCAAATAGGCAAGTTTTTCCGATATTTAAAAACTACAAATTTGATCTATTTTTGATTTTGTTTTTTAAAAATCTCAATCTTGATGCTAACTATCTAGACATTTTTCACTACTGCAGTAGAGTTACTGCTCCAAATGAAAACGTTTATATTCTTCCCTCAATTCCCAATATTTCCTCGCAAATTGCACACAAAATTGATCAAATATCGAAATTTTAATCTTCATCGAATGGAAAAATTTGAGTATTTACAGGCACGGTTTGGATTTGAGATTAAACGCTAAAATTTCATACAGCTTTTATTTCAATTATGTGCTACTGCTCTACATGTTGAATGTTTCGAAATTCACCGAAGATGTTGTTAAAGGGCAACTTAATAAATAGGGGTTCTGATTTCAGTGATCTTCGATTGCCTAAATAACAATCGTGAGATTTAGAGATGGACGTAAACCAAGTCCAAGTCTTTCCTGATGAACTCTAATCACATAGGTTCTATAAAGAACTGCGGGTTCCCGTACTTCCTCTGGGTCAACAACCGACCGTTCAGGGGTTATACTATATAAAATGATATAATAAATAGAATAGTTAAACTCTCTATCCCCAGCGCTCTTTACGTTATCCAGGGCCAATGACGGTGGCGCGGGGGTCTGGCGGACGTGGCGTTTTTGAATACGCATGTGCTCCCGGGGGTAATCGCAATAGGAGTTTCTTGTTCTGACGGCGAATCTCTCATTGGTCCTTGTAGTATGTTCTTATCGATATTGGCTGTTTCTTGTTGATATGGCTGCCGATGACCTTTTTCCACCTATCTCAAATTGTCGAAAAGTCGGTAATACGTGGTAAGAGATTAATCAATACTTTGGCGGCTGGAGCTAACGGCGCCACAGAGGAATGGAGACCAAATAATAAGAGCCATGGTTGACGAATGAGGACAAGTCTGGTCTGTGTGGCATTTTGGTGCGGGCAAGGAACTGGTACTTACTCCATTGTGTGATTTTATTTATCCACAAATTCGATGGTGTGGTATTAGGAAGGCACTACTCCAAGAAAGTTGAAGAGAGAAATGAACAAAAGTCCCTGAATATAAACCCGAAAAATTCACATAGAAGGGAAATTAACAATTTGATAGTTCAGTTCATTTATGTAGAAAAGGAAAAGAGAAGTGTTGAATACAACTGACAAGCGCTGAATTTAGTTTTATTTGACCCTTTTATAGTTTGTATTGATACGAGATTTTCTTTTTACTATCAATAAGAGAAGGTTAGTAGGAATAGTGTGACGCCACCTAAGGCCAACTGAAAGAGCGAAGTGAAAGATGAATAGTACATCAAACGACGGCCAATCATGTCACTCCAAAAATGATTTACACAAATCACATAGTGGGAAGAAACAAGATAGGGTGAAAACTATACATATCATAGCGAAATAGGGTTTCGGAACGCTACGATATCACTGGCGATAGCTGTCACCCAATTTGGAAATCCACCCAACTGTGTTAGGAAGTTCAGGGTCGTCGTGCATCTGTTCCAACTAGGTGATTCCAAAGCTGACTAGCGTCCTCGTCATCCCATCGAGCTAATTGGTGATTGTGGCTAAGGAATGACTCGCAGTCGCCGAGGGATTCAGACTAAGGAGAGAAGGCCCTAGGAGAGACAGTTAGAATTGACTGCTGGTATCGAGCGGAAGCTCCAGAAGTTCGGCATCAGTTACTGGCAATAATTCCTTTTGAGGTTGTGATGTGTACGCTGTTCCCATCTTGAATGGGAACAGCGAGAAAAAGGGACGCATCCTCGACTAGTGACATGGATTGCTTTGTGGCAGCGGAGGGAACGCTTTCGGCCACAGAGACCTAACTCCAGTGTGAAACACATGGTGTTGGGGTAGGTGTAAGGGCTAGGAATCGAGTCGATTCCCGTAGGCCAAGTCACACATGCCTCCAAGTGAAGTAGCTTTGGTTTTGATTCGCGATAAAAGATGGCTTTCACTAAGCATCCTCGAGTTGCGGTCGGCATTAGGTGTAGTGAAACAAATCTCTGGATACCAATGTCGTATGTCTCTCACGATGTTTGGCGCCCTGTAGAGTAAGAAAGATTCGCAGGTGATCTGTGTCTCCTCTAGGGTTGGGCCGCCCTGAAAGACAGTAGAAACGTACGCAATGGCTACATTCTTCTGCGACAGATGTGGAAAACACGTTCTTCAATAATTCCCTCTGAATGACGCCACCCCCGTGACAAAGTCGGTAAGCAGCGTTATTTAGACGTTGGTAAGCCTCGCTCACTCCACCGTGTTATGTTGATGCTGGCTGGAAAAGTCTGCGGAGTAGACGAGTCTCTTCACAGCTGCTTTTCCTCAGATTTTCCGAGAAAATCTAGCTGGCACCTGCTTGTGAATGATAAACGCGGCAGCCAAAATATTTGGAGAATTTTTTCGGGGGAACATCTCATCAAGAGCACAAATGAATGTTGAAATGCTGAGAAAAGGTGTGGCACGTAATGTAGATGTGAGACTTAGAATTATCGATGAATTAGATTTAAGTGAAGCAAGAGAGTTGGAAGAGAAAAACCGGGGAACCATGACGCATGCTCGTGAGTACTAGTCTTTCTAGTCTTCCCAAGGCAAGGCACTCGGTCCCATTGCTTAAGGGTTATTCTATCTCTTCCATATTGTGTCCTGGAGGCTTGTGTTGGGATGTGGGCGTATTCAAGTGCGCTCGTTCCCGATCGCCTGTGCAGTTAATAAGACTTTACCAAAACGGTAAAATGGAGGCTTATTGAAGGACATGCTGCATAGTATGGTCCATCCCCTGTCTATTTATTTTATGAATATATTTTCGAGGAAAATGTTTTTATTAGTTTCGTTTATTGCTTTCAGCTATGGCCTGTACGTTTAACAAATACAATGTTCGCTCCCTGAGAACTGTTTGGCCTCAGCTATATCAATAAATCAATCCGATTATGGTTGTCCGACTTTGACAAGTTTCAATTGAATAAAATTAAAAAAAATAACGAATGTCACAATAATATAGACACACACATTCGTTACAAAGCTTAAGAAAGTTCAGTTCAATGAATAGCTTTGAACAATTGTATATGTGTGCTGTCCAAAAGTATTTACGACTTTATCATGTTCTTTTCAGTAATACTGTATTGAATGAACTATAGAAAAAATAGCGACGTAGATAATGCTGACAAGATACTCCAACCGGCCGTTAATTTTTTTTCCGTTTTCATCGTCGAATTAAAGATAACTAATTCGATCTATATCATGGAATGTTGAAATAACTATATCGTTCTAAAATGTCTAAAAATTTTTCATTAATTATTCTCATAATTTCATTCATAAGTCAGATACGGAAGTATTAAAAATTTAAGAAGAATTTCTAAATGACATTTTTATTTTTCTCATACAGAATTAAAACGGCGATTGAGAAGAAGGCTTGCAACTGTCTCCTTCTGAAAGTCAACCAGATTGGCAGTGTAACTGAGTCAATAGATGCCCATAAGCTAGCGAAAAGCGCAGGATGGGGCACAATGGTATCCCATCGGTCAGGAGAGACCGAGGATACATTTATTGCAGACCTGGTCGTCGGTCTGTCCACTGGACAGATCAAAACGGGCGCACCCTGTAGGTCTGAGCGTTTAGCTAAGTATAATCAGATCCTTCGTATCGAAGAGGAACTTGGTGCTGCTGCCAAATACGCCGGCAAGGAATTCCGCAACCCTACAGCTTAAGCAATCTCTTCAAATAACATTATCACTTCACAAATATTGCAAGTAAATGCTCGGAGTGAAAATACCATTTGGTCGTATTAATTTGTCTGCGAATTTAGTGTCGTTTCTTTCAAAATGTAACATTTTCAATGTTGATAAACATGTAATTCGGGAAATCATACTACATTAGTCATTCGGAGGAAAATTGAGTTCGAAGCGCAAGCTTCAGTAGTTACCGAACATTGAAGTATAAAAATGTTAAGGTTTCCTAAATTTTATGGTAGTACGAATTGTTGTATCGTAATCGATGCCATTGATTCAATAAAGTAAAAATGATAAATTATCCTTATTTGAGTATTTTGTTCCAAAATCGTGAACCTGAACTTTTCTATGGTTAGTGATATATTGGATTCCTGTATGGAAACAGAGATAACGATGTGACATCCGTGGCAACCACGCTTTGCATTACTCAGAGCCATCACAAAGAGGTATTAATATTATTTACTCACATAGAGGCGGCACCACTCATTGAGGAGGCAATCAATCACCTTTCACGTTGACATAGACGGTTGATATCGCTGGGAACCCGTCACTGCCCTTTCTGCATCAATTCTGTGATTAAATTAAGAATCTGTAATATTTGCTTCCCTATATCCGCCTTCTACAGTAGAGAATCTCATGACTCCTGGCGAAGAGTATACTCCGATGTGTGCAGACTCAGTTTTGGTGTTATACTGTGATCACTTAGTATCGTCAGGGGTACGGTCTTTGCCCAATCCTTCATGTAAACATGGGGATTAGTACAATTTCACTATTATAATTGGTGAAGGGGCTGTTTCAGACGTTTATCCGGAATAGGCCTGGTATAAAGAAATAAAATAATTGAGCGAAAATAGAAAAAAATTTATCAAAGAAAAGATAATGAGAAACATATTAAAATTGGGAAGAGTACACAATGAAAAAAAAAGCAATAAACGATTTTCATAGCGATCACGGTGGTCGTTAGGTGTAAAGCTCGGAATTTGTTTCAAGTGAGGTATCACCTGGAAGTTCACTAGGTTGTATCAACATCATCAACTCAACATGATGCGAAGTCCGCTCTTTTAATTAATATACGAGACCTAGTGCGCACTCCGTGCGTCGAATTTGAATTTAGCGGTTTGACTCGACCAATGAAGAATTAGTCCTACGCATTTCGAGATACTCCGACTCGAGCGAACTTCATTTTTCTGTTTCTACTTGCATAATAAGGATCCACAATAGGATAGGTCAAGTGGTTATGTACATTATGAAATTTCCCACTTTATAATTAACTTTATCGATGTTTCTTCGGGTATGAGCATTTGATAATTGTGAACCACTTGAATGTTTTTTTTTGTATGTAAACTATCAAACGATGGTTCACGTTTCTCTTGAGTTGGTTCCTCGGACAATTGATAGATGACTTATAGTAAGACAACCTGTGTGTTACAGCCATTAATAGTAGCCATTCTTAATAGTGACAAATTTCGATTTACCAATCATTGATCAGTTTCAACCGAATAACTCTTTGTATACATAATTTTTCACCATTTTATTTGTACGTTGAGCTCCGAGGAAAATTGTCAAGGAATCCCACGACCGAACACGTGAAAAAGCAACGTATAATTAACCGGGGCTGAAAATATCCTTCCGAAGATCGATTCCTATTTTATCAAAGGTTTGACCTAGGCTTTTATTAATTGTCATGGCAAAGGCGAGTCTCAATAGAAATTGACGTCTTTTGAAGGTGAAAGGGTAAATGTTTTCGCAATAAAGAGTTACGCGATGCATGAAAACAATTTCTCCAGCCTTGTCACCCGTAAGAATCTGACAGCGTAGGAGATTGTTCGCAAGGTCAAGCACTTGTAATCGTGTTCCATTACAGAGTCCTTCGTTGGCACTCATGTTTCGTATCAACATTACAACACAATTGATTCTCAATTTCAATTCATATGGTGGAACATTTGGAGGATTCAAAGTATGGAGTTATTCTGGTAAAATTTCGTTACTTATATCCCCATTGTCACAATTCTCTACGCTGTCAATACTGGTATAAATTCTTTGATTTCTCCTGTCAAGTAGGTCGATAACCTGATCATTAATTTTGTCTACATCTGCATTTCGTGCTGACAAAAATGCTACTTTAGCTAAATCTCCATATTTCCGTTCGCTAATAATATTCCTGAATATTTCGATGGTATCAGCGGACATGTGAGCAACGCATTGCTCTGGAGCGTAGATATTATTATTATCATATTATTATTATCATATTATCATATCATATTATTATTATCATTATTCAAATTGCCGTCTCCGATCGACAAAAGATATTTCGCAAATTCTATTTCTTGTGGTAAAGCTCGCATATTTTGTGTTAAAGCAAATATTGAGAAATGTCTCCATAACGATGTGACGAGGGTCACTTAGGATTAATGATAAAAATTAAGGGTACTGTGAGGAGAGCATACTTGTGCTACTCCTTTGCTCCGAGGTTACAGGAATGTTAGGGAAGGTAGTTAGGGATCCATCAAATGACAGGCAGGGTTATGTTGCCCCGAACAGAGGGAGTTAGGGTTGGATCCAAGGTGAGGTCGATAAGGGAATTATCAACCCCGCCATCGATTTATGATAAGCTTCCACCTCGTCCGATAGAGCATGCAAGCTGGGCGTGACCCACTAACCCAGAGGAGATAGGGATGGATTTCCTATTGGGGGGAAAAATCGGGAAGATTGTGCTAATTGGCTGGGAAATCCGGGAAGAAGAACACCAGCCTGGACTGACGAAGGAAGGGGAAGGAACATCACTCGGACAACGACTGGCGACGCCATAACACCCCAAAGTTATAATTAAGACAATAGATTAAGAAAATTAGTGTTAAGAGTAAAAATAGTGTAATTATGAAGAATCAGGCCTCAACCTGCGAGTTGAGGAGTGATATCCAGCCGGAGAAATCAGGAGCCCGGAAGACGGAAAGCGACAAGAATTAATTGTTGAAAGAAGTCTCCCACTGTAAGTACATTGGTAATTACACAGTGACAGAAGCTCCCCATTTTGAGCGAATATTGTGGAAAATTTACATTGATAATTGATGATCTTTGTAAGGAGGATTAAAGGCATAATAATTAGAGATTTTCTCGGATCATTGGCTAGACATGGTATAATTAGGTCGGAAAACATCCGGGGAAAATCCAAAAGCATTATTGGCGTTCCCACAAAAAACCCACCATTCTCGCCATTTTGGGCAAATCGAGGGAATCACAGTTAACTAGATTTCACTCGCGATTATCAGGGCGACCCTCAATAAAAGTATAAGATTAATTATCCCGGATATTAAGGGAAATTACGAGGGAGAATAAGGGGAATATTCTTGGGAATATAATCCCATAGACTATGATCTTCACATAATTGTAAAACTATTATTTTGATGATTCCTGGAAAAGAATGGACGCGTGGTGACTTGGAGGACGCTCTAAAATCACGTAACTAAGTAGTCATTATTTTATTAATTTTGAGTTGAAGACAAAATTCTATTCTTCCCTCACATAATATTTATGTTGTCACTTGAACAGTACAAGTTCGGCGAAATAAATGAGATAGAGTTGCTTATTAAATTGAGAGTGATTATTTGGTATTCAGACCTCCAGAATCAAGTTAGAGTGAGTAGTAGAATCTTCGCCCGAACAAATTATTGGAAGATTGGGACCGGGTTATTGAGCCTATTGAGAGTTAAGGGAGAGAGGCATAAACATTCAGTGTCAAAAGACACGAAAAGTGGAATTTCCACCTTTTTGTGAGCGAGGTCCACAGGACCGTGGCAGCGAAATTTTCCGGAGGAAAAGTAATTGTGAGAAAAGGGAAAAATCTAGTTGCCACGTCACAACGAGCTAAATTTAATAGACAAATCTACCAGCTCACTGCGAGTTGCATTCGGTTTAACTGGAAGTAACTGACGAAAATCTCCACCCAGCATCATAATCTTACTGCCAAATGGTAAATCATTGCCCATAAAATCACGTAGAGAACGGTAAACTAATTCAAGAGCATATCTCGGCGCCATTGGAGTTTCATCCCAAATGAAAACATCGATTTCTCGTAAATCTGAGCCTTGGTTGACTGATTTTTAAAACTTGACACTGAGTCATTGAAAATTGAAACAGCATTCCGAATGATGTGTGGACTGGCTTCCCCCGTGGAAGTAATATGGCAGCAATTCCTGTGAAAGCCATCGCCTGTACCTTCTTCCTCTTAGCTCGAAGTAAATAATACAAAGTAGTATAGACGAATGTTTTGCCGGAGCCACCCGGACCATCAATGTAAAAATAGGCGATGAGTGTTTCGGTTGAGTCGACAACGTTCAGCACATCATCGACAATATCTTTTTGTTTCGAATTCAGTTTGTCATATTGCTTTCAACCGATACCTTTATATTGTTCCAGCTATATTTCATCATTCGTCTCGGCCTTATAATTTTTCTCTGAAGCTGTCAATGGTGGTATGGTAGGAAATCGGTTGATATCAGATCCCTCCCAAGATAAGAGACGATTCACTTCAACGTATGCTCTCCTTACGGCTTCACCTGTACTCAAGTGTCTCTGGAAATCTTGAGACATTGCTTCTTTGAACTTCTCCCAGAATTCTTCTGGATTAACTAGTTGACAATAAATCAAAACTCTTACGAATAAATAACGCAACCGTCTAGGCATCATCCATACCTCTCCTACGGTCAATGTACGCTCCCATTCCGCATCATCCTCGATGAGTCCTAAGGCAAGGCAAGCGCTTTGAAACGTAGGATGTGTGTGACCATCGGCGGTTCTGAGATTTTCAAAACTTGTTGGACCTGTGGCAGTTATCAGTAATAAGCGAAGATGGAACAACTCATTCTGTGTTGGACTAACACTATACATTCCTCCAATGATATTGAAATGCGATTTACGTTTTTCCCATTTTGATACATTAGAACCCTTTTGTTTTTTGAATACATAATGGGATGGAATTTCAGAATACGTGAATTGATGAGCATTAAAATCGCGTTCATTCAGCGCCAAATAATCGAGAAGCATGTTTGTTCACCGTAATGCTGATCTCATAGAATCGTCATCTGCATCATCATTGATTGTGACATTTTGTAAGTGAACAGGTAACCGTGCAATTGAATGACTTTTACTTTGCAAAGGTCGTCCTATTATCCGATCACATGCTTCAGCTGGTCCGACATATCGAGCTTCTACAAAATTTTTGATTTCGTCGTGTGAAATTATATGTTCGTTGGTTTGCGGATCACTTATGGTAATACATACCGCACCATGGCCTTCGTATATAT